ACATTTACATTCATCTGTACACAGCACGTTTCTCCCTTTGCACGGGCACCCACGAGAACTATTTTCTTTGCGCTTCGTCGTACAAGCATTTTACATTTACAAAAGATCACCGAAGGTTCCTCAGTAAAAGAAATTCACTTTCATGAGCATTTGCTTTGGATAAACTTGATTTAACCCTTAATCTGTCAAGCGCGGATTATTCCGCGCATATGACGTCATGGACAAAAATCGTTGTTTACATGAAGTAGAGTTCTCCCAGGTCGGCTATAAGCCTCGTTTTCATGTCTAAGGCTGTTTACGAACCTGCTGAAATTTTTTCACGAACTGGACTGTATTATTTCTCTTGAATTTGGTGTTTTTTCTTCAAGCCTTCGATTTAAATGTCCTGAAGGGTATTTAAAGATGGCGTAGGTAAAATTAGCTTTGCGTTTGAAGCCATAATTCAGTCATTTTTCGCTCAAATTTGGTAAAACTTTCTAAGAGCGATTTCAACATGGCGGCAAGACAAGCAAGAACATATACAGCAGAGGAAGTTGCTAGGATTGTCATGGATGTTCCCGAGGATAGCGATGTCTCTGACTTCGAGGGGGAAGAAGGAGATCAAGAAAGCAATATGGACGGGTCTAATACAGACTCTGACGAATCATAAAATTCTGCGAGTGAAATAGAACATGAAGCTATTCCACCTTTGGAATCGGATGATAGTGAGAGTGATTTTCAGCGAAATGAAACAACAAATTCCACTAGAAGACGATCGAGTAGGGGAAGACCACATGGCAGAGGAGCACGCGGAACTGCTGCACGAGGGGCAAGATCACGATCCCCTGCAAACCGACGTGATGAAGACAATTCAGCTATAAGGTGGGGAAATCGTGATGAGAATGTTGTTGTTTCATTTCCTGAATACAGGGGGCAGCACGGCCCTATTACTCTTCTGGAAGCTGACTTTGAGCCAGTAAATTTTTTTAGTCTTTTATTCCCTGAAGAACTCTGGGATATTTTAGTAGAACAAACAAATCTGTATGTTGCCCAGAAACAAAGAAAAACTTGGCTCTGTGACACAAATAAAGATGAGATGAAAGCATTTGTTGGTGCCCTTTATTTCATGGCTTTACACAGACTGCCCAATTTTGATCATTACTTTTCTCGGGATTGGGTATTTGCTGTTCCTGCAATGCAAAGTGTTTTTACCAGGAACCGATTCTGGCAACTGTGGCAGAATTTTCATTTGGCTGACAACACAAGGCAGCCTGCTCCTACTGATGATGCCTATGATAAGCTCTACAAGTTAAGGCCCATGATCAATGGAATGAAAGAAAAATTCGAGCATTCATACAATATTGGCCAGAAAGTTTGTGTTGATGAGCACATGGTAAAGGGAAAAGGGAGAAATCCTTTCAAACAGTACCTTCCCATGAAACCAATCAAAAGAGGTACAAAAATCTGGGAATTGGCTTGTTCATGTTGTGGATACCTTTATGATTTCCAGGTGTACACAGGGAAATCTGGTGGAAATGCTGAAAAAGGTCTAGCACATCGGGTTGTTACTGACCTAGTTGCGCAACTTCAGGACAGAGGAACTGTATTGTACATTGACAATTTCTTTACCAGCATTCCCCTTTTGCAAGAGTTGAGTGAGCTATCAATCAGTGTTGTGGGAACAATAAGAAATAATCGAAAAAATTACCCAAAGGCTTTGCAGGGTAAAAACTTACTAAAACAAATGAAGCGTGGTGAATTTCATACTGTGGCATCTGAAACAACAGTTTGCACAGTGTGGAAAGATACCAAACATGTTTCTTTTTTAACAAATGTGCACTCTTCTCATGGCAATTGCACAATCACCAGAAAACTGAGAAGAGGTGAACAGTTAAATTTGCCCTGCCCGCCATGTGCAGTTGACTACAATAAGAACATGGGTGCTGTCGATCGAAATGATCAAATGGTGCGCAATTATGCTATTGATCGCAAGTCCAGGAGATGGTGGGTGAGAATGTTTGTTAACTTTTTGGATGCAATTATGGTCAATGCATACATTGTGTACAAGGAAAATTTCCGAATTATGAACATGCCACCTCCACAAAAACCCCCAAAGCCATTGTCCCATGACAAATTTATGGCTGGTGTCATCCACAAGCTGATTGGAAATTTTTCTTGCCGACGTCAGCCTGGCCCAGCACCAGCCATGCCTCCCCCTCCATTTCATGGAAGGGACCATGATTCTGTCAATCTTGCTGACCTGGGGCTCCTGAAGTTTGGAAGATGTCACCACTGTTGCATTGGAGTGAAAGGAGCAAAGCGAAAGGAAACTGGCTTTGGCTGCAGATCTTGCATGAAACGTTTATGCCGTTCTGGTTGTCATGAAGAATACCACAGGCAGAACAATATCTTCTAAATATTGTCTAGAAGTACATTTTTGAAGAAACTTGTAAGATTTGTATTTTCCTTGCAAATTTCTGGTGTTTTCTGGTAATTTGTTTTGAAAAAGTAAGAAAATTTCCATAATTTATGCAAATGTATGGAATAAATAAGCATAATTTATGTAGAAAACGAGCATATCCTAGTCCATCCGATAGCACATTTTATTAGCTTTATTATGATATGTAATAAGTCATGATTGGTTAAAATCTCGAATTTTAATGATTTTTTTTTTTAAATACTCTTGAAATTTCTATAATCATTCAAAAAATTCTGACAGATTAAGGGTTAACCATCATTCATTGATATTGCCTGATGAGTGTGGTCATTCTCTGACCATACGAAAAGCGTCGCATTAAAATGATGAACAGAAATTTTGCTAAAATTGATCATTATTATAATTACTGCTCCTCTCAGAGTTAAGCGCTTTACAGATTTATTCTATTCAGGTTAAGAATTTTACATATATATATATATATATAATTATGTAATATATACCACAAAGGTTGGGTCATTTGGGGAGACCGTCTCAGTTCTCCCCCATCCTAGCATCGGCACTGCACTGATGAGGCCCAGAAGGCCGAAACAGTACTGTCTACAGTTAGTTATATATATACAATTATATATATATATATAACAAGGTAAAAGGTCTCGAGCCAACAGTGACTCAACTGATGAAGGTCTCGGACTGAAACGTATGTTATCAAACTTTCTTAAACTTTTTATTTGAGTATATGTCTTTCTTAGCTCGAAGTTGTCCGTCCTCGTGTACTACAATATTTTTCCTATATATATATATATATATAACTAAGAGTACAGACCACATAATTATATATATATACTAGGTAGAAAAAGTTCAAGTTCTGGATACCTTGCTGCTTTCATGTCCAAATTGAGCACTGTGGGATGAGTCATTGCTGCTAGCATTGTGCATAGCTCACTAGGCTTTTCTAGTTTGAGCAGTCTTTTTGTTCCAAAAATTAAGTTTTGTAGACGTAAATATAAATGTAACACATGCTTTATTGAATATCATCAACACTAAGATAGGGCTTGGCTATGGTTTGAGTCTTACAAATTTACTAGCGATCTATGTGATTAAAGAAGAGCTTCCTGACAAGCACTTTGTCCTTGGCTTTTGTTTGGCCTACAATAATTAAATTGCTTTCTCAATACACCATATACTGCAGTTCGAGATCATCGAAAAGTTCCTGGAGTGACTCACATCCCAAGCCTCTATTCTTGATTCTCAATATTTTGGAATATTTATTGTTTCCTTGCATATATCTTAATTATGGACACTGGTACATCTCTATAATCTGACTTTATCTATGAATATCCTCATTCAGAAATTATCATAGTTGCTCAGTAAGATGCCCAATCAAAGTGCTTGGCCAAAGTAAACTCTCACTAGAGCATAACTTTCCTGTAATCCTAGGCAGACTGTTTTTAATATAAGTTTATGAATTTGTATTCTCGGAGGGTATGTCTTAGCATGGGAATTTGGGTTCCCCCTACTACCATCCTGTTAACCATTTTCTGTATTTTTGTTTGTTTATATATGTATTATTATTATTATTATTTTCTATTATTGAGCATCATTTGTATCAGTTATGTATGGTTACGAACTGTGATTAAACATTAAACTAGAGCAAATTCTTTCTAAAACAAACTCTTACTAACAACAACAAACATATGAAACATATGTGTGAACTGCGGTTATGAGGCGTATATGAGCACGATCCTTCGCAGTAAAGCACTATTTGAGCAATAGTGAAGATCAGACCTGAAAAAAATTTCAGGCCTGTACGGGATTCGAACCACTGACCTCAAAAAAAACTCTTACTAGAACAAACCGTTGAGAAGTGAGTGAATAAAATAGTAAATCACTCAGCGAGCAGGAATGAAGTGCAGCAATCGGTATTTAAGAAGCCAATCACCAAAGTGCAGTGCGTGCCTTTTCTTGACTTGAAGAGTCAGAGAGTTAATATGGGAAGTAACGAAAACTGGAAGACCTAAGACCCCTACGAAAACTTAGACCCAGCAATTTTCGGGCGCACTCTTTTCCGTTAGTCAATACAAAATAACAGACTACAAAATCAAGAAAACTGAGCCAGTCGTGTTTTTGTTTGGGTCTTCGTTTTCGTAATAGGTCTTCGTTTTCGTAATAGGTCTTCGTTTTCGTAATAGGTCTTCGTTTTCATAAGGGGGTCTTAGGTATTCGTTTTCGGGGTCTTCGTTTGCGTAACTATCAGTAATCTGGTCCTAAAAGGCCACATATCACTTGTAAGTAGCCAAGGGTTTCAGTTTGCTTATCACAAAACGCATCGGTTTGGGTAAGTTTTTCTCATTTAGAGTGTCTAATTTCAATGCAATGAAACTTTTATAGGTTTGCTGCGCAAATACAACATTTGATAAAAGTGTTCACTACATAACTACAATTCACATCATTTTTTGTTTTTTGTTTTTCATCTCTAGCAATTTGTTCTCGACTTTCGAAATCTGTGCACTTCAGTAAATTGTACGTTTCTCGGTTCTCCTGTACTTGCATGTGGCAACCAATGGTTTGCAAAATATAACCTTGCAGACGCTCAAATATTGTAAAAAACAAATATGAAAACGACGAAAACAAAATAGACCGATTTCTAGACTCAGCTCATCCCACGTAATAAGTCACAGACAAATAACGCAGCAGATAGGTTTGCCATTATTTTTAGCGACTTTCATGTATCAAGGATAAAAACATGGAGTTACATTGTTACGACTAGAAAATACGAAAATAAAAACTAACCTTGAAATACATTTTTCCACTACCGTTAACACCGCCAACAAGAACATCGTAATACTGCATGGAATTGTAATTCCACGTTAAGGTTTCGTTGTCGGGCCACAACAATCTCGATACGCCAAATCCAATCCAACCTGTAGCTTTTACCCTCACTTTAAAATAAAAGGTTTCTGTAT